ATGCCCCAAAGCGAAAACCTCTCAAAAAAAAAAAAAAAGAAAGAGTGGATATTGGAGAAAGGGAGCAAATAGGTCTGGGCTGGTTTGGGGGTCAAAGCATCTGAATGTGTATGAGTGTGTGTATATATATATTTTTATATATATATATATATACACGCACACACACATATGTATTGGCAAGGGGAACTTACATCCATGGCCCCAAAAGAGATACTCAAGAATCAGCTCTTTTTCTAGCAATATTAGTCACTTATCTTTTAGTGATTGACATTTTTGACTACCAACAAAACCCCCAAGTTTAACTTGGTCATTAAGTTGTTTTTCTCATGATCACCTTTATCAAGTCAAATAATTCTAAATACAGATAATAAGAAAAGAATTGAATGCCTTGATATTGTAAAATGCAGAGTTCTGGGTACCTTTTCAGGAGCCCATACATATATTGCTGAACAAATGATAGGGCCCTCGTATGTGGTTACTTGGTGAGGTTGGGCGGAGCTACTTCTTGGCTGGCATTGGAGTCACCACTTACATTGTGGGGTGGCCATGATGGTTTTGGAGCTGTCTGTGATGAAGACAAGGTAAATCAGATGGTGATGAGGAAACTGTCAGCAGCTGGTCCTGCGAGGGAAGAGAAGAAAAACTGGTTGTACACTTCTTTACGTAGAGAGAGATGTATCATTACGCCCTGTCTCAGATGCATATTTGAGAGTAAGGATGGGGAGAATATATTTTGAAGCCAGCAAATTCCAAATAAATCTCTCTTCTCTATTATGGCTGGTGTAGTCCTGGTTCTCCAGTCTCAGATGGTATTGGAATATTGTTTTCCATCATATCTAGAATTTTAGAAATTTGAAGAGGATCACCACAGATACCTTCTAGTACTCTGAATCTCAGGGTTTTGAGGAAGGAGGTTAGTGGTAAGTCACCACTTTTCCCAACTTCAAGATGAGCATCTCTAATTAACTGCCTGTCTGACTCCCATCACTCTTTTTTTTTTTTTTTGGAGAGGTTTTCGCTATAGGGTGCGTGCGCTTGCCAGACAGAGAAAGACAGAGAGACAGAAAGTGAGAAATCACCTCCTGGGGGGGATGGCCACGCCACAGTCCCTTCTCCTCCATTCTCCTCTCGGGATCTTGGGCATTCACGCACACGCGCCTGGCATGAGTTTTAAGCCACCGGGTCCGGGGCACGAACCGCGGTCGACTACATGGGAGTGCAGCGACATAGCCATTATGCTAACTGCTGGTCCTACTCCCATCACTCTTTATCCCTCATCAAAAGAGGCATCTTTGTGAAGAAACCTGTACATGGCGCAATGATGTATTTTTCCAATCTGGGGATGGCTGCCTCTGGACTGCTGGTTAGGATACCAGAATTTCCCCCAAGAAGATCATGAGACTCAGTTGTTCACAATGCTACCTGCCTTTAGAATTTCAGTGCCTGATTCAATAGTTATTTCTAAACAAGGAAAAATCACCATCAGTCACCTTTATAAATAGCCCCAGCCCCCCCCCCAATTGCCAGTACTTAAAGACACAACCTCAAGACACCTCCTCTTTAGATGCAGTGGTGGTATGAGGCTCTCCATACATAGCTTCTCAGCAGCAGAAGTTACCTTTGGAGATGAGCTTGTCCTTGAGTTCAAAGTTAAGGCAATAATTACATCCAAGGGCTCTGGGATTCTGGTCCAGAACTTTTGAACATTTTAATAAGCAAGGAAGGGTTATATCTTGTGGTTGTGGGTGTGTCCACTCTGGCAGAAAGTTGGCTGGCCTGACACAGAGGTTCAGTATGACTAATCTGGGCACCTTGAGAAACAAGTGAAAGAAAATACCCGGAAACGACAGTAAGGAAATGCAGGTGAGACTACATGCTGAATTAAGAAGAAAATATCTTTTCTGGATTGGTTTGGGGATAGAATTGTGCCTCTCTTCACTCAATGAACTGCATGAGTTTATAGCCCCATTCTTAAGTGATCCTGAGCAAATCACACATTCATAGTGTACAAAAATTGAGAGTTTATTTATTTTTTGGATACAATTGTAAGAGCTTTACTCATATAATTTTACAAATCTTATATATATATATATTGCTATAGGAAGCATGTACATGCCAGAAAAAGAGAGAGAGACAGTAGAAGAGAAAATGAGATATCATTCCTCAGTGGGGATGGTCACACAGAAATCCCTTCTCTTGAGATTTGGGCATGCACATTAATACACCCAGTGTGAGTGTCAAGCTGCCAGGTCCAGACTCGAACTATGGTCTGCCATGTGGGAGTTCAGTGTCTTAACTAGCAGGGCATCTGCAGGCATACACAACAATTCTTTAAGGGCTGTTAAACTTTATCATAGATTTAAGAAAACAAGGCCCCAGGAAGTGAAAAATCTTACCCATGGTCACACCATTAGGAAGAAATCAACCAGGTCTCTGCTGTGGACCACTATGATATGTGCTTCCTCTGGATTATTGTCCCCTGCACGCTGTGTAAGCTGAAACATGTGTGTAGTTGTGGACATTGAATGTGTCCAGGAGAGGAGACTCACATAGCAGGAGAGACTTTGGAGATCTTGTGGCTTCTTAAATTGAATTAGGAATCAGACTCAGCTCCACATGGTAATGAAATGAAATTGTCACTCCTGAAACCTAGTATTGGGTTGTCAGAAAAGTTGTGATGCATTTTTTTTTCGCATGGAAAAGTGTAGAAAAATATGGTCAGGATATTTTTGGTGACTCAATATTTTGGTTGGTCTTACATTTTAAAACTCCCCACTCACTCTATGCCAAGATTTACTTTCATACAATTCTTAAAAGCTTTTGTTTTCACTCTCTGAAATCCATCATGAGCTCTCCTATCCAGAGGATTGCAACATACTCTAAACTCCTTAGAGTTAAATGTCCTCCCAGCAGGGACCATGATCAAACACATCAATATGGTCCTATCACTTGTCTGTTAATAATCCTGTAATGGAGTCTAGCAGATGGGGTAATAGTAACATTGCTGTACTAACACATAGTTGACTATGGTTTGAGTTCTGAACCTGGGAGCTTAAAACTCACACTGCATGTGTGCCCAAAATCCTGAAAGGAAAATGGAGGAGAAGGGATTGTGGCATAGCCATCCCTCCCCACCCCCTGGAGGATGATTTCTCACTTTCTGGTGAGAGTACACACCATATAGCAAAAATCTCTCTCTAAAACAAAAGCAAATGAGCAAACAAAATAACCCTGTAATGGCTTCAATTTATGCCCAGAATAGTATCCAAAGCTCTCACCATGGCCCTATAGGCCCAGGTGATATGTCCCTCTGGTCTTCCCATCATGCCTTCTTTCCTTCCCATCTGATTCCTTTGCTCTAGCTCCACTGGGGCCCTACTAATTCTCTTACCTGTAAGTGCATCCATACTGGGACTCTCCTGGCCTCTGCAGGAATGGGCCTCCCCAGTTCATCATGTGGGTACTCCCTCACTTCTTCCATGCATTTGTGGAAGACCCAACCTCTAAATGAGATACTCTCAGAGTGCCGTATCTATGTAACAACCTCTTATTTATGCTTTAGACCTTCATTCTGCTAGATTATTTTTTTCATATATTTGTGTCAATTGCTGAGGATATCTTTATTGACTTCGCTATGAGAATGGGAGCTCCATGGGGTGTTATGACATTAGAGAACTGTGCCTTCAATATCTGGAACTGCGCCTTGGGAACCAGCAGTTAGTGTAATGGCTATGTCGCTGGACTCCCACGTAGTCGACCACGGTTTGAGTCCCGGACCCGGTGGCTTAAAACTCAAGCTGGGCACGTGTGCGTGCATGCCCAAGATCCCTAGAGGAGAATGGAGGAGAAGGGATTGCGGCATGACCATCCCCCCGGGGGGTGATTTCTCTCTTTCTGTCTCTGTGTCTCTCTCTGTCTGTCTGGCGAACGCATGCTCCCTATAGCAAAAACCTCTCCAAAATATATATATATATATATATTCATATATTATATTCATATATATATTCATATATTCATATTATATATTATAAATTCATGAGAATTTATAAACATTTACTAAGTAAATGAATGAATGGAGCATGCCATGAAGAAGAGGGAGCCTGGGAAGAGAGAAAGAAGTGGGCTTCTTTGTAGGAAAAGCATCATTTGTAGGGACAGGCAAATTCCTCCTCACCTCATGGAGAAGGGCAAAGGATACTCTCCTGTCTCAAATCCAGGATGGAACATCCCAAGAGAGTCATTCAAACTGGCAGAGAGATTGGGAGCTTTTTCTAAACTGGATGGCTATGGTATCTAAATACCCATAGGCTAACACTTACTCACTGGCCAGGGCAGATTACAATGAAAGAGTTCTAGGGAGACTGACATGAGTACACCAAAGTGGGGCCCCTATTCTAGAGACTGATGAATATGGAGGACTCTAGCATTCTCTGAATCAGTAGAGTGTAGAGAGACTGGGATCACATTCCTGGAAGAAGTAGGCAGTAACTCCCATCCTGACTGAGAACTTTGAGATGATTAAGAGTGTAGAAAGACTGAGGCTTCTTACTCCATACTCTAGCTCTTCTTACTCTAGAGGTTGGCAGAAGTGTTCTCCCAAAGATCAAAATGGCAAGTAATAAAATGTCCAACCTTAAAAATAATTTAAGCTTGAGAACTATTCAGTTCCATCTGGAAATGTTTAATGACAAGTAGAGGCAGGGTGACACTGATGGCCACACTCTGAAAAACTGTAAGTACCACTTACTGAAGCAGATGAAAATGGCGCCTACCAGAGGATGCGGAAACACCTCCCTCTACATTCCCATAAGTGTAAGTGCCATAAGAAGAACTCTATCTTTCCTACCCTTGCTTTTATTTCCAACATACCAGCACTAGGCCTAGTAAATGAGAAAAGTAAATAGGATCCCACCCATGCCTCCCCACCGTTCTGAAAGCTCTTGTTATGAAAAGGTAATAATAAAATTATGCCACCTTGACTGGAAGGTTGTTACAGGACCTGGTAGTTAGGAAAGTGAGTCACTATAGCAAAATCTAAAATTGAATTACAAAAGAAGAAAAGCAAAGCAAAAAAAAAGAGTAAAGAACAGAAATATTTTCATGTTTTTATTTATATGACCTGATGTCCCTTTACAAATGAATTAGAAAGAGGTATAGACCAAGGGCCGTGAAAAACACATCACTGGATTGGAGTTCTACCAGGAAGGTGATGTCTAGTAGATTATCTTTTGCAAAAACAGACTACCACAGACTAGGCAATTTATAAAGAAAAAAAATTTACCTCAGAATCTTAGCAGCTGAGAAGGGTAATATCAATGATGCCTGTATTTTTTACAGAGTTATCCCATGGAAGAAGTGAGAAGGGACAATAGAGCAAACTCATGGATGAGAGAGAGTGGAAGGGGCTTAACTCATCTTTTTGATCAGGAACCCACTTGATAAAAACTATCGTACTCCTGCAACACGTACTTTGGTTCATGTGTGAGGGGAAAGTCCCATGACTTAATCACTTTTTAAAGGTCCTACCTCTCAACACTGTTGTATTGGATGTCAATTAACCAACAAGTGAATTTTGGGGGACATCTACTAACTATAGTGAAAGGCGTTGAGTCCCTGGAATGAATATCATACCTCTGGTATAGAGAATGTCTTTCCCAACTGGATCTGGGATTGGGTTTAAAGAAAGGAAGTGGTTGCCTCAGGAAAGGGGAAAGTTGAGAGACAAGACATGGACAATACTGTTTTTGTAATTTTGAATTTTTCAATTCGGACATTTTAGAACATGTATTATTTTGATAAAACATTAAAATAGTATAATTCTGTGTCCCAATTTCATCTAAAAACATTATTCTTTTTTCACTGATGCAGGGGCTGAGTTTTTATGAAGGAGGCGACATAGGAAATCCAGGAGAGTTTAGTCAAACCAGAAGTCATGGCATCTTTACTTTCTTCTTCTTTCTCTCTCTCTCTCTTTTTTTTTTTTTTTTGAAGAGGTTTTTGATACAGGGGGTGTGTACTTGCCAGAAAGACAGAGAGAGACAGAGAGACAGAAAGCGAAAAATCACACCCCTGGGGGGGATGGCCACACCACAATCCCTTCTCCTCCATTCTCCTCTCAGGATCTTGGGCACCCAGCATGAGTTTAAGCGACCTGGTCCAGGACTCGAACCACAGTCAACTACATGGGAGTCCAGCAACATAGCTAATATAACATCTGCTGGTCTCACTTTCTATTTTTAAAGAGAAAAAAATATTTTATTTATACAGTTGAGTGCTTCTAACCCTTGATATCAATCTCATTTTTCAAGCCCAGATTGAAGAGTCTGCCTCAGTCTCTGTCCTTCCCAGTAACAAAGTCTGTGATGAAAACAGAATCTTCTTCCTCCTGAGTCCAGGAAGACCATATTTCTGTGGACACCCAAATAGCTCAATTCATGAATACGTCACAATCAGGCAAAGTGAGCACTTGATTCTGCCCAGAGTGTGTCATACAGATTCGTCAAAGCTGAACACCTAGACAATGTTTCTTTCCTGGTTTAGAGTAGGTTGGACATTGTTAGAGGCTAAGCTATGGTGATTCAGCCAGTCAAAAGAGACTATATCAGGCCAGACAAAATCTAGGGCTGCACTGCCCTGGTCAATTGCTGAGTATGCCTGCATTCCACGTGCAGGGAATTTGCCCTTCCCTGTTTTTCCAGCCTGGAGAAATGTAAGAGAGTTACAGTAACTGTACTGACATAATTGCTAAGACTAATTCTGAATCTATAGAGTTGGGGAAAATCCCTAGATCCAACTCCTCCCTATGACTCTTAGGCATGTTTAGAAATACTTGAGAATCAAAGGATATCTTATTCTATCCTTTTCTATGTTGTGCATGAGTATTTGTGTGGATCTCTGACCACAGATGGAAGAACCTATGGTTCTCAATACCCATGAAGCTCTGTGTTCATCATATTCATGTGGTTTTCTGTTATGGGCCTTATGGATGTAGGCAGCATCAAGCCATCCCACTGTTTCTTTTTTTCATTATTCATTTTATTTTTTATATTACATTTAGTCACATATATCTTTATAGTGTATAACATTTCTTTTTCCAGCACAATTACCATGCATATTGGTCAAGACAAAGACATTATACACATCATCAGCAGCAACCTACTGTTTCTAAGAATCCCCTGACACTCCTTTGTGGATTCTCTGCAACAGAGCAGAGAAATTTTGTTTTTTACATTCTTGATAACATTATATGAATGATAGGATTCTTCCATGCCCCGTGGTTTTCTTTTTATGTTTTGTCTAGTTTTGAACACATTAAAACACCTTGAAGAAGTTTGGTCTTAATAATCATCAAATTTTGTGCATTTGAGGTCATTTCTTGTCAAAATTAAATACATTTTTTAATGTTTTGATTTGACTTTATGTTAGGTCAACTAAAAAAACAGATACTGGATAACACGAAATTTTCATGGATAATTTGTGTCTTTAAGTCCATTTTAATTTATGCATTTCGATCAGAGTTGCATTGCAATGAAGGATGTCTCTGAACATTTCCCTCCTCAGGAGAATGAATAACAGAAGTTTTTGATGAACTTTTGATGTTCACATTTGGCATCTGGTAGTATTGTTCCTCTTTAGGTTAAATGATAGCTTTAGAGGCCCTTCCTTTGGAATTTACAGAACTTTAAATGGGGTTGAGATACTCTCAGGGGAAAGATTATATTGTTAACCTGGACCAGAGACAGTGTGGAATCTTGGTTTTTCAATTCCTACACAGAGAAGATGCTTTTCTTGCAACTTGGTGGTAAAGGGGAGGCTTCTGAGAAAATGCCCATTGAACAGACCCCCAATCCCATTTGCAGAGGGCCCCCATTGCTGGGTGAGTCCTGGGCTTTACCAAATGTCCCAATGAAGTATCACCTTGCCTCAGTTAGGATGGTAGTTATCAAAAAACTAAGGAATAACAAGTCTCTCGAAGGGGTGGAGAGGGAGGCATTCTCATGCACTATTCATGTCAATGTAAATTATATAGCCATGACAGAAAGTAGTATTGAGATTTCTCAAAAAACTAAATACAAACTATCTATGATCCAATAGTTTCATAGCCAGGTATATATTCAAAGAAAGGAAATCAATATTTTGAGGTGATACCTACAAACCCAAGTTACCGAATTTTTTTTTTTTCTTGAGGGCACAAGCAATCACCAGAGACAGAGAGACAGAAAGAAAAAGAAGGAGAGGAGAAAATAGTCCCTATGCAGATGGTCATACTACATCCCTGTGTCTCTATCTCTCCTTTTTTGGGGGGGATTTTAGATGCAGAAATACATGCCCAGTGTTATTTCTTAAGATGCTGGATTTGGGACTCATGGCTTCATGGCTGGCCATGTGGGATCCAGCTGCCTTAATCACCAAGCCTCAGAGGTAGCCCTGACCTCCCATGTTTATTGCAACACTACTTATAGTAGCTAATATATAGAATCAACCTGCATGTCCATCAATTGACAGGTGGATAAAATAATGTAGTATATATACTAATGGAATACTATTCAGCCATAAAAGGACAAGATTTTGTCATTTGCAACAATGTGGGCAAACATGGGGAAAATAATCTAGTGGAATAAGCCAGATGCTGAAAGAGATACTGTATGTTCCCACTCATTAGTGCCGGGGTCCAGCCTCTGCGGGGGTGGGTTGACTCTACGGAGGCAGCGCAGGTGAACAGAAGACAAAGGCCTCGGTGCCTTTTCATGCACGTACTATGCCGGTAACCCCTCAAAGATCACTCTCTGAGGAGTGACCACTGCTAGGAATCATCGTGTGTTTTTATTGAAAATGTGATACATGCAAGTAAATGGGAGAGGGGCTATGTGTTTCAATTATCAGCCCATAAAGTTTTTAACAATAAGGTACAAAAGTTCCATTCAGGATTGGATTAAAGGTGGGTCTAGTGTAGTTTCGCAATTGTTCCTTTGATGTAGGTGGGTCTCCATGGAATGCAGTTTCGGGAAAGTGGCTTCATCAAGCAGAGATGATTATTAGCTGATGCGGCACAGCAGCCATCTTGTGATTACCGGGAATGGTGCTGAGAAAAAAAAATCTCAAGCATGGATATTAGTTTTTATGGATCTTAATAAAGAATGGAACTTATATAATTGTATAGGGATCTAAAACTTAATTCAAGGAACCCTAATATATCTTAAAGGGGTAAAACTTACTGTTTGCTAGGTAAGGGCGGGGACAGCCTTTTCAACTGGCGGTAAAGTGACTAAGGAGTTAATGAGGAACTTTTAAGATGAGTATGTGGCATTCTATTGTGCCTGTGGCTCCACTGTTATGTATCTTGTTGGAACATTAGCCATAGTGGGGCAGGAGTGCCCTGGGCCTTCCAAAGGTCAGGAAGATTGCTGCCTAGATGTGACTTTATCACATCCTCCATTGTGACCGCTGGAGTGAAGCATTGTAATTGACAGTAGGTGGTCAGAGCAAAGGGGAGTGGTCGGGGGACTTCCCGGAAGATTTTATCGTATACTCAGGATGTATAAGAGAGCTATGTAATTCTTTTATAGTAGTATGTTGGGGAGTCAGAGGGAGGTCGCTTCCCAGCAAGGCTACAGTCTCTGGAGTGTACAACAAGCAGCCTTGCTGAACATGTTGAGTGGACCCAAGCTTTGTTCCTAGGTCAGGGGTGGGGTGGGGGGACGGGTGGCATACAACAGTGGCCTTGCCAATGTGTTGATCCGACCGGAAGCGGAGCTCAAAGGTCGGGGGGCTCAGACAGATGCTGGGGCCTCACCGGGTCGGACTCCTCCACATTAGTACAAACTAACAGATACAATCCCTCAGAAGTGGAACATAAAATGGTGGATACAAGAAATTGGGAAGGAGATGGGAGAACTTGGTTAATAGATACAAGAGTTTAAGAAGATAAGTGCAATCAGTTCTAGAAGACTCTAGCATAGTAGAGTAAGTATAATTAATAATAATTTAATGTATATTTCAAAAGAGTTAGAAGAGATGATTTTGAATTTTCACAACATGTGGTGATAAATATTTGAGTTGACCTTTTATGGCCTTTATTTGATCATGGCACGTTGTATTCATGTACTGAAAAACCACACTGTTTTCATGAGTATGTACAACTTCCACATGTCAATTAGAAAGTATAATAATATTTTAAAAATTACTTTACTTATTTTACGACATATTATTTTATTGACTAGGTGTTTAAGAAGGATTAATTATAAAATTGCAGATAGCAAAAAAGGTAGACTTAATTTTCTAAAGGCATTATCAGACACATGAGCAAAGATATCAATACAAAGAAGTTTATTACGACATGAATTTCAAAAGACACAAAATGAAGCAAAGCAACATAAAGAACCAGTAATGATGGATCTGGATAAATAAAGGGTATTGCATCTATATAGTGAACTACTATATAGTTATTCAAAGTTGTGATGTTATTATTCATATTTGATGGAACTTTTAAAAGGTGAGTCCTACTGGAATAAGTCAGTTGCTGAAAGACAGATACTGCATGTTCCCACTCATTAGTACAAGCTAACAGATATAATCCCTCAGAAGTGGAACATAAAATGGTGGACACAAGAAGTTGGGAAGGAGATGGGAGAACTTGGTTAATAGATACAAGAGTTTAAGAAGATAAGTGTAATCATTTCTAGAGGACTATAGCATAATAGAGTAAGTATAATTAATAATAATTTAGTGTAAATTTCAAAAGAGTTAGAAGAGAGGATTTGTCTTCTGTGACAATACCTGAGGAGGAGAAGGGTATCCTAAGCCCTGTGCAGCTTCTAACCACGCCTGGTGGAGGCCCTTAGCTGGGAAGTCATATTGGGCTTTGTTTGAACAAAGTGAGAGAATCCACGTGAGTGAATTAATTTCTTCCTCATGGGAGTGATTTAGGTTCTATGGATGTGAGTGGGTTGTTATAACATGAGCCCAGACATTGGTGTCAATTTGCACAAGGACTCTTGCATTTCTGCTTCTCTGTCATGCTGTGATGAATCATGAGGCTTTACCAGAAGGCACCAAATATGGCTGGAGAATCTTGATTTTTTTAGCCCACAGAATTATGAGCCAAGTAAACTTCTCTCTCTCTCTCTTTTTTTTTTTTGAGAGGTTTTTGCTATAGGGTGCGTGCGCTTGCCAGAAAGACAGAGACAGAGAGATAGAAAGCGAGAAATCACCCTCCCCCCCAGGAGGAATGGCCAGGCTGCAATCCCTTCTCCATTCTCCTCTCAGGATATTGGGCACACATGCACATGCACCTGGAGTGAGTTTAAGCCACTGGATCTGGGACTTGAACCACGGTCAACTACGTGGGAGTCCAGCGACAAAGCCATTACGCCAACTGGTGGTACCAAGCCAAGTAAATCTCTTTGCTTCATAATTTGTCCTGGCTCAGGAATGCTGTTATTGCAACACTAAATGGACTAAAACAGTGTTTGTATTTACATATTTATGTATATGTGTATTTTCATTGGTTTTCTGATGGTATCGTCACAAAAGACAAGCATGCAGACAAGCATGCACATTTCTCAGTTTTGCTAATCTGGATTTTCAGGTTTTTTTTTTTTTTTTTTTTTTTTACAATGAACATTTCCTAAGCAGAAGAGCTCCTCCTCCAGAGTGACCATGGACTGGTAAAGGCTGTAAGGAAGGAAAGACGAGTTGGGAGAGAACATGAGGTGATCTAGAATACACTGACAAGATAGGGTGCTCAGGAACTGGCCTCACTTCAGAACAGGACTGCCAGCACAAAGGCTCTGAGAAGCTGGAGGAAGATTGACTGAGGTCAGTCTTTTCCTGAGACTCGCAGAGAATACGGTGACTGAAGACCAGGAGTGGTTAGAAGCCGCACAGGGCTTAGGAAACTCTTCTCCTCAGTCTACCTTGCACCTTGCACCTACTAGGGTATCTCCCAATTATGAAGAGCAGTCATATGTGTGTGTGTGTGTGTGTGTGTGTGTGTGTGTGTATACATGTTTTTTTCCCTTAAACTCAGTTTCTGTGAATATATTTCCTGGTTGTTGCTCTTAAAAGCTTAGTATGACTTCCTTTTCAGGCTGTTTGGATAAATCATAGCTGTTCTATGGTTGACATTTATTTGTATATGATTCATCTAATCTTCTGGCACCAGAAACCAGCCAATACCCAGAGTGCCAGGAAATCCCAGCCCCAGTGAGAACGCCTTCCTTTCCCATGAGGATAAAAGGCCAAGGTCCTGGTAGAGCTTATCCAAACACCTGTGAGTGGTAGAGGCAGGGAAACAGAAGCTAAGTTCTCTTCGAATAGCTTATGGATGAGGCCCTTAGCTGGGAAGTCTGGGGAGATCCTTCTGGATCTCTAGCTTTGGCACTCTCTGTCATCTTAGGGCTTTGTGTCTAATCCTGAGCAGGATTCTTATGTAAGGTTGATTCTACCAAGAGGTAGGCTGTGTACAAGAAGATAAGCAGGCAGGTGAGTTTTGGGAGTATAGATTTCTGACAGGGTCACTGTTAGGCTGGTCACCAGCCCTTCTTCAGACCCAGGTTCAACTGTGACTTCTTATTGATGCAGGTCCTCTCTTGGAGTCAGTCTTCACATAGGTGACCTCACGCCTTGGTGGTGTTAAAATACCACCATCATGCCAAGAAATGGTAAAGATGCCCAAGAAAGCACAAAAAATTGGAGGAGGGGATGTTCTGTGCCCTCATTCTTACCTATTTGTATTTTTACTTTCTGTATAGAATTAGCCCGGATTCAACCTCTTGTGGGGGATATTCAGGATAGCAGTCATCGGGTATGGGTCCTTCAGGGAAAGACCCTCACAGCAGTCCCAAGGAAGCAGCACACGGTTCCAGGTGAGTGGTCAGGTCTGTGGAGTCCCCTTTGTCCAGTCCTTTTGTGTGTCTGTGGTCAGCCTTAAATCTCATGGAGGCTTGTTGACTGGCATATCTGCAGAGAAGAACATCTCAGGGCGGTAGTGAATATAGGGTGATTTTAGGCCTGTTCTGTGACAGGGTCATGAAGTCAGAGAGAGAAGGCCCAGGGGAGGCAGAAGAAGAGGTCTGTGGAAAATGGTAGAAGACTTTTCTGTGCAATTTTTAGGAGTAAGACTAAGATGAAAGAATGGCCTCTATGAGAAGACCAGTTTTTAATACATGAAGGCTGACTTTTCTCATGTATGACTTATCTAATGGTAGGATGGGTGTCCGGTGAGGTGACAGGTGGCAGGGTGACCACTGTACGTCAGCAGATTACAGCCTTTAAAACACTGGCTCAGACACGCTGCCTGTGAAATGGCAACTGAAGGCCATTTTCTGTTTCCTGTTGCCAGTCACTATTACCTTAATCCCATGCAAGAACCTGGAGACTCTTGAGAAAGACAGAGGGAATCCCATCTACCTGGGACTGAAGGAACCAGAGCTCTGCCTATCTTGTAGGAAGGTCGGGGAGCAGCCCATGCTGCAGCTCATGGTGAGTTCAGAAAACAGGGCCATGCAGTGATGGGCTGGGGGAGCAGCTGGTAATGGTTAAAGCAGTGCTTTGTCTTCCTCAAACCTTTCATGTCAACATCTGCTTTCAGAGCCTCATGTTAAGAAACATTGAAATGTGTGCCCTGTTTCAACCATAATCTTAACATGTATAAAAGTATTTGGGGTATTTTTTTGTAACAGAGAGAGTGGAGAAAGAGAGAGAGAATTTTGACAAGGTGTCAGTGTTGTCATCCTCTGTCCCACCCTCCCAAGTAGCTAGGATTACAGGTGCACACCACTGCAGCCAGCTTGTTTCAGATTGTTCCAGGATCTGAATCTGGGCCTCCCACATGGCTCCAGCCTTGTGCAACAATGCTCTACTGCTTGTGCCACTGAGGCAGGACTAGTGTGTGGTTTTTAATACCATATTATGAAACAGAGATCTCCAGGCATACTTATAATGGGAATGGTATTGTGAATACAAAACAAAATAAAACAAAACAAAACAAAACAAAACAAAAAACAGTGTGTAAAGATCAGTAATCCAATTAATTATGTTTATCTCTGGGGTCCTTCTCCTTCAGGAACAGAACATAATGGACTTGCATAACCAGTCCAACCCTGTGTTACCCTTTCTCTTCTACCACAATCGGAGTGGCAGTATCTCCACCTTTGAGTCTGTGGCCTTCCCTCGATGGTTCCTTTCTGCCGGCTCCAAAGGAGAATGTCCTCTCATCCTTACCCAAGAACTGGGGACGATCAACACCACTGAATTTCAGTTAACTATACTGAAGTAATGTCAGTTTGGAACTGGAGGTTGCTCCCAAGTGGGAGAATCTTGCTTTTGTTTCCTCCATCTCTAGCCCTCAAATTGCTTCTGAGATGAACTTTGCCATACAGACTTTTTTCACAAGGAGAATGGGCAGAGTGTCCACAACCATGTGCAATTTTCAGAAACCAGGTTAAATGGAGAGGAAGCATAAATCTTAGCCTAAGGAGAATCTGTTGCTGGGGCTTCTCACCTAAGGGTATCTTTCTGCCTTTCAATACATGGGTGTAGGAATCCAAGTGCTGGACCAGGCTTTGTGGATAGTGTCCTGGAGACATATGACCTTGCCCACAGCCATGTGCTAAGATGTGGCACCACTGCAAAAGTAGTACAGAAGGTTCTACTTGGCACACTTGCTAATAACACTCCGCATAAGAAACGAGGATGATGTCTTTTTTATTTTAAATCCAGGTCTCTGGGTTTTTGTATGTGTTGCCCTGTATTGTGGGTTTTGGATCCTGACAAGAAGAAGCAGATAAAGAAGTTCTAGCAACAAGAGTAAACGCAAGCTGAACCCCACCCCCCCACACACGCACACACCCTAACACCACCACCAACCTCCACCAGGCTTGGTTGATGCCTCCGTAAAGTTACATATTCTGGTGCTAACTTGGTAAAGAGCTGCTGTTGCCTATGATGACTTTACCTAAAGCATACCACCGAATCCTATGAGCAGTTACATTTGTGCGTTAAAAATGTTGTCATCTTAGTTGTTCTGCTATAAATGGAATGACTTTAATGGAATATCCTGATCATAATATCGTTTCCTTGTATTTATAGGGATTTTTATAGTTTGCAAAGTAGGCTGACATTAGGTCTCTCATTTCTAAAATGTAGCAGTAGGATTATTGGGATGGGTAATATGTTCCTAAACCTGGGTTCCCCCCAAGCCTCACTACTGGGATGGGACAAGCAGAACTTCATTCACTGGAATCATCCTGTATGGGCTGGGAAGGACGAGGGGAAAGAGAGGAATGTTGATGAACAGAAATAAAACTGCTGATAGATTGGAAGAAGAATTTTTTATAAAATACAGTGAAGAAAATATATGTGACAACTATTTGCTGGGTACATCAAAGTAACAGAAAGGTAGAGTTTTGAATATTTCCAATATAAGTGATGATAAATAATTGAGTTAATGTGTACGGTAATTACCCACTGTATTCTAGTAGTATAAAAATCACACTGTATCTGTCACAAATGGGTACAACTCATTTTTAAAAAAAGAAATCATATTGTAAGTTTTATTGCACATTTCAGGTGCATACTTGACTGAAGAACTCTCTGTGTCCTGCCCTGTTGGACGTATCTGAGTTTCTTGTGTTTTTTTTTCCTGTGAACTCACAAACCATAAACTGACATGGCTCCCACTCATTGAGAACATATTCATTGTGAAATCTTGTCCCTTCTCCTACCATCTTTTGAAGTAAGGTTTCTTGTTACAGACTGTCAGTGGAAACTTTATTCTCTGCAATATGGTGATTCCTAAACTACCTAATCTGTGTAGGCCTGTCCTGAGCTTTACTTTCATGACAGTTTCCCTTGTCCCCACACTTTGGAGTACGATGTGGGGACACAAGTATAGATTTCCCTGCACCTTGATGACTCCAGGGCCCTGCAGGCATTGCTCCAACCTCCCCCTCTCATGTGAGTGACCATGCTGCTGTCAGGGCTCATTTTTTTTTTGGAGAGGTTTTTGCTACAGGGCATGTGTGCTCGCCAGCCAGACAGAGAGAGACAGAGAGACAGAAAGCAAGAATCATCCCCTAGGGGGAATGGCCACGCCGCAATCCCTTCTCCTCCGTTCTCCTCTCGGGATCTTGGGCACGCACGCACACGCGCCCGGTGTGAGTTTTAAGTCACCGGGTCCGAGATGCGAACCGCGGTCGACTACGTGGGAGTCCAGCGACATAGCCATTACATTAACTGCTGGTCTCCATTTTTTTTTTCCTGGTGACAGCAGTTCCTAAGTGTCTATTTCTCATGATTCCTACTATGAGAAAGGCAGAACTGCTTCTCTTCTGCTTTTTCCTGTGTTAGTAATTTCCCTATAGCTGTGTGGTGACCAGGATATTTAGGGGAGTTAAAGGGCTCTATTAATTATTGCAATGGATTGTTGGTCATAAGCTAGGATCTTCTGGGCCAACTGGGGTATATCGTCTCCTAAGTGCAGGGCAGAGGAGGAATCTGGCCACCTTTGACATTGTCTGGACTAATTCCACTAATTCCACTTCTTTAGGAATTTGTACCCATTCATTTCCCAACTTTCTTTTTTTTTTTCTTCTATTGCCAGAGGGTGTGTACGCTTGCCAAAGGGAGATAAAGAGAAAGAAAGAGATACAGAGATTGAAAACACTGGCCAAGGGGCAAGGTCTCTCCACACTCCTTTTTCTTACATGTTTCTGTTCTGTCAGGATTTTGGGTACACATGCATGCACCTGCTCTTGTCATGTTTCTCAAACTGCAGGGCTGGAACTCAAGGCACAGTTGACCATGTGAGATGTGGCTCCCTGTGCACAGGGCCTACCACAATCCTACGGGGCCAGTCCAGAAGTTGCTATTGGTTGATATTCAAAAGATATCAGAATATATTCTGTAATTTTGGTGCAGTTTTTAAAAGATTGTCATTCATTTCCACTTTAATCTGTTTCAGCCATTGTATTTTTAAAATGTGGGTTGTAGACAATAATATTTCTAAATTTACAAGTGGTTAAATTATTTGGAGGCTTTAAAAAAGTAGTTATGTCTCTTTTTCCTATAGTCAGATAAAATTGTCTCTAGAATATCAATTTTGGCAATTTCTTAATATTTGTTTTGTCACTATTTACTACAAATTTATAAATTTTCTATGGAAACATAAAAAATGTGCATTATGATTTTCAGTTATTCAATTTATAATCATATGTATTAATATTTATATATACTAAATTCAGTAATATAAGCATGTGACATATTATAGTATAAAAATAATATATTTATATATTAGGTATGATAATACAATAGATTTTAATAATAATAGATGTAATATATGTCATATAATATATTGTATATGTAGAAAATATATGAAGTGATTTTGTTAATTACATTTTGTATTTTTAAAGTCTTTTTTATTATATATATTTTACTTACATTTAATTATTATATGTCTTTGTAGCATGTAACATGGGTTCTTAAGCATAGATGCATTGCATATCAGGCAAGTCAAAGCTATTACTGTACACAATAACTTTCCAATCCTGTGTCTGTTATTTTTTCTTCCTGAGCCCTTCCCTCTCTTCCCCAACAATCCACCCCCTTTTATATGGTCTCTGGTATCTATACTTGCTTTCTCTGCTATGATACCTTTTAATCTTTCAGTTTCTGCCATAAAGTGTAGACATTCAGTATATATTGAGTGGGGACATACAGTGTCTGTCTTTCATAGTTTGGCTAGCTTCGCTTAGCATTAAATTATTTATATTCATACATGACATGGTCTCATTATCTTTTATGGCTGAGTAGCAGTCCATAGCATATATGTGCCACATTCTTTCACTCCACTAATCTGGTTTGGGGCATTAAGGTTGATTCTATGTCTTCACAATTGTGAATAATGCTGCAGTAAACATGGATGTGTAAGTGTCTTTTAAAATGTTTTTCTATCTTTTGTGTAAATGCTCAGGAGTGGTATTAATGGATTATATGGTAGCTCTATTTGTAGACTTAAGTAACCTCCATGTTGTTTTCCACAGTGGCTACACTAATTTACATTCTCACCAACAGAGTGGGAGAATTCTCCTTTTACCACAGCCTTGCCAGCACTTGACATTCTTAATTTTTTGAATAGTGGACATTCTAACTGGGATTAAAGGTATCTAGTTGTTGCTTTGATTTGCATTCCCCTTATGATAATAACACAGTAGAAAGATTAGACACTGTGACCAGGTAGGTTTTGTCCCAGGGATACAAGGGTGGCTCAATATAGATAAAGCAATAAACTTAAAACAGCACATTAACAGAAATAAAGATAAAAATCATAATCATATCAATTGATGTAGAAAAAACATTTGATAAAATACAGTATCACTTAACGATTAAGACTATCAGCAAAATCAGTATAAAAGGGACATTTCACAATACAGTAAAGTACATATATGACAAATCCAAATCATACTGAATGGAGACTAGCTGAAAGCTTTTTCACTAAAAACTGAAACAAGATAAGGCTGCCCACTTTCCCCACTCATATTCTTTATTTCTTTCTTTTAAAAAGAAGTATTTTATTTAACTTTATTTATTTTAATTTGACCAGAGAGGGACAGAGCAAGAGAGTGAGAAAGAGAGAGAGAGCACACACGAGAGAGAGAAAGTGAGAAAGCAAGTCAGGTCCAGGACTCAAACCATGGTCAGCCATGTAGGAGTCCAGTGCCCTTAACCACCATGCCACCTGCCAGCCCCTTCCTACTCATTTCAACATACTGCTCAAAGTCCTGACCAATGCAATCAGACAAGAGTAAAATAAAAGGCATTCAGATAGGAAAATAAGTAAAATTATGTCTATTTGCAGAAAACATGATTATTTACATAAGACATCAAAAGCAACCCACAAAAAAACCTCCTAGAAGTGATAAATGAATTCAGTAGAGTGGCAGGATGCAAAATCAATATACAAAAATTTTTAGTGTTTTGTATACCAACTATCAACAGACTGAGGTAGAATTGAAGAAAGCAATGTCATTTACAATTGCCCCCCACCACACACACACAGATATCTAGGAATAAATCTAACCAAACAGGTGAAAGACTTCTCCAAAGAAAATTATGAAAAAATAAAAAAAATAAATTGAACATGATACACTAAAATAGAAAGATATCCCATGTTCTTGGATTGGAAGAATTAATACAATCAAAATATCAATTATACTTATATTAGTTCACAATCTCAATGCAATTCTGATCAAATTATCAGAGACATCCTTCACCTATTAG